ATTACCATTCTTGCAAACACAATATGGAATTTTTAATCAATCACTTCGATTTCAAGATAGGAAGGAATTGTATGGACATCTTTCACATTTTTCCAAAAATAAATCATTCTCTTGATTTTAATAACTAAGCAAGCCCACAAGTATTTAGAAAAATAATTTGGGGTTAACCCATTTTGGAAAACTCCACATTTTAGGTCACAAAAATCAAAGTCAACATAGTCAATATCATCTCACATAATCACTACAATTCAACATAAGCAACATGATTCAACTCAACATCATTAAATATAATTCAACATAATTCAAGAGAAATTCTTAAATTCCATTTCAACATTCCATAACCGAGTTTATGTCATCTATATCATTTATAAATCCTTTCCTCCAATTTCCTTCTCATTATAACATGATTTACATTGCTCATTACAAAATTCATTCGCAAATTTTAAACATAATTTTCAAACATACCAAATTCCAATTAAACTTGTACATAGATAATTCAACCTACCAATTTCATGATTCCACTTTCAATTTGGGCCAAATAATTGATTATCATCAAAAATCAACCTAGGGTTTCTAGAAAAACCTAGAAATTTCAAGAAAAATTCAAACTTCTTAACCCATTATTTTTTTCTTCCAATTTTCCCCTTGATTATATATCCTAGGTTCATAATCCATAATCTAAACCCAACAATAAGACCCCAAATTCTTGAAATCCGAAATCCCCAAATTTCCATAATATAACCCTATATGCTCAACATGTAGATTTTGCATTTATATACTCTAAAATACCAAAAATCTATCTATTTATGTAAGCATTGAAGGAGAACTAGGACCCCTACCTCAAGATTGAAAGCAAGGAAGCTAGGTCAAGAGTGTAACTTCGAAATTTCAAAATCCCATCGGTTGAAAATGTTGATCTTCACTTGTTCTTCATTGTTGATGCAAAATCCATGGTTGATTTGTTGATAAAAGTGGAGGAAATCAAAGTTTTTAGGGCTAAGTTTTCGGACATGGAAGAGGGGAGAAGAAGAGAGGAAAAGAAAATGTAAGAAATGGTCCAAAAATCACGTTTTTTTAGCTGCTGTCCCGCACAGCCCGCACGTGCGGCGCTATTCCCCGCACGTGCGGCTCTGCTTCCAGCACAGATGTGGAAACTTCAAACGGGTATAACTCTCTCATCGGGACTCCTTTCTAGGCCGTTCTTGTGTTCAAATTGAAGCCCCGGAAACAAGCTTTCCAATGGTTCCAACCTCACATTCAAATTCTAAGTATGGAAGGAGAAAAGGGCAAAAGAGTGACGGCTGGTCAAAAATTCAAACTCAAATTTGGGACTTTTTATCTAATCTTATCTATATATCTTGTTAATGCTTCGATCAAGGTTCCAAACATCATCCAAAGGTCCTCAATTATAATATTTATAGTTCACTTGCCAACCCATCAATATCAAGAGTCCGACAACCATACAAATTTTAAGGTGACAGGCACCACTTATATCAATCCAATGTGAATTTAAAATCCGAGTCGTTACACCCTTCCCACCTTAAAAAATTTCGTCCCCGAAATTTGCATCCGTTCTAACAAAAATAGCAATAACCTTATACTCACCAATTCTTAACAACCCCTAGTTCACAACAAAGCATGAGAGCATCCTACATATCCACCCAACCTTAACAACTTCCAATTACACCTCACTTCATTCCTCAACCCAAAATACAAAGTGTTATAACTTACCCACCTTGGGGATATTTTATCCTCGAAATTGAAGAAAACCAAATAGAAGACAACTCAAACAGGCCCATTCTAGGTATGTAAAATAAAAGGAAACATCTCATATTTTATTTCACAGGATCTTGTATCGAATAAGATATAATTACTAGAGTCCTTGACAGGACATTCCAGACATAAACTCCCTAGTAGGCAGGGTTTGTAATCACAATATTTTCATGTCGCATCAATTCTCAGTTATAGAAACATATAATTCTTAAATACAGAAACATAATAAATAGCATTCCCCTAAGCACATAATTCATAACTTCCCACAGCATACGTTAATTTCCTTCACAATATACTATGTTCATAACCAAATTGATCCGACCTTAATAGTTCATATGTAATTCTCATTCAAAAGTACATGTTCAAACTTGCCCAGTTAAGTAGTTCTTTGGGTAAATTTCAGAGTGCCATTTACTCGGAGATGGGTTGTCCATTAAAGTCATAAACAGTTCCAAAATAATTAAATTAGTCACGTGGTTAGATCCAAATTCGGTTATGCATAATGAAATCATATATTAGAGCCTACCAACAAGGTTTTGCCTAATTAACGAAGCATATTTCATTCCAATAGTCACAAATAAATCGTTTATGTACGCAGCCTTTAGCTTTATAATTCGCTGGTAATCCCGTGTTCCCAAAAACACTTCAGAGTCATACCGGTATATTAATTCAGAATGAGATGGTCAATACAACAGAAAAAGAGATCACAGTACACATCGTGAATTCCTCATAGCATTACTTCTAAGTTCAGTAACACAAGAGGACTATACTCCAAGTCAAATAGCTACGACCATATCAAAACTAGTATCATACACTTTTATAAATTCATACAGACGTGTCATAATAGACATTTAATCATACTATTAAAAGCTCGGGTCTAAGTAGTATGCATAGCTCACAATTACAATGGGTCAGCAAATAGTCATATAGAAATTATAGACCCGTCGTCTGGCTCAATCAATTAACATAAACAGAGTATCCAGTTATTTCACATACGTAGGTCCTACTGGGTCCATTCATAGGGTCATAGATTTCCTTAAGTATACAGTAACCACACCCATGCAGATACATCTAGAAGTCAACAATTCAGTGACAAAATGATTTGATCACCTAATTTCAGAGTTAGACTTCTTAGCCAAATTAGTTCAATATTACGTCGCGCATATCATATTGTATAAGCATACCGAATGAGATAAATGTCCAGTACATAACGTTAATTCACCATCAATAGAGAACACTTCCCTGTCTATTCGTCTTTTTTTTTTTTTTTAAAGTTCACAGTGTTGTGCAGAACAGTTTACGTTACATCCTTCAAATATGGAGTAGGGATTAATTTAACAAATTGCAATATCTAACATTTGTACATTTACACAGAAATTTTCATAGGAATGATTTCTTAATCTTTCGTCATAATATACATAGGCAGGATTTTAATTCTTGCGGTAACTTATCAGTTTATCAATTAATTGGGTTGTTCTTAAATTAGTCATTAGCTGCCTCCCTTTTTACAAGTCTCACACAAGCAAACACGTAATGTGGGTAAGGTCATTCATGTCGTACAACCATTCTTGATATGGAATTTTAATTACAGATTACAATTTACACATAACAAAACAGATTACAGATGACAAAGTCAAATGTCAGATTTCAAATGTCTAATTTCATATTTCAGAATGCAAATTTCAAATTACAGACTTCCATAACAAATTACACACAATTCTAAGAGGGGTCATTATATACACAACTTCTTCAAACAGCCATTCGTATTCAACACAAGTGTAGTTAGCCCACAAACACATCTTATCAAAATACTCATGTGCAGTAGTTGCACAAAATCACAGATCTAAACATTGTTGTGACAAGGAAGACTATATCATTTTCTTTAGTCTTAGGATTATTCCATACCTAGGGTTTAATCACTTCATCTAAACAGATGATAAGCAACTTCCAATCCGCAAATAACAATCGATAACATACATCTTATTTGGCATGCGCGCGGCGTGGGCAGCACTGCATGGCATGCGCACGGCCTGGGCGGCCTGGCATGCAGCCGGCCTGGGCAGCCTGGCCTGGCGTGCCCGCGGCGTGGGTAGCGTGGCCTGTGCGAATACCGCGCGCGCGGTCTTTTGACCACGGTGCGCGTGTTGCGCGCAAGGTCGCACACGCCTTCACACGCAACGCACGTCTAGTGATAAGAACCGCAGCCAAGTGTCACGGACTTAGACTTCGCAAGCCTACTGTGCGGCCTTAGATGCCTCTCAACCCTCTTGGTTGCACCTAAGTCAACCTTACACACTCAACCACACTAACAGACACAGTTTCGGTGGAAGAATGCCACTCAACCACACTAACACACACAGTTTATGTCACGCCCCAAACCCGCCCCTTAAAGTTTGGGCATGACCTATTCAGAAACGGACATGTAACCTGGTAACATAACATACGGGGCCTTATCGGAAGCACGAAAAATGGAAATAATGAAACAAATAAACTCCATTGAGCTACTTCTACATGCCAGGATCTCATTCATCACATGCATTATAGTGGATAGATAAAGTTCCAACTATAACTCGGAGCATATACATACATATTTACAATGCCAGCCCCATGATTTGGGCGTATACAAAAAAACAAACATGAAAGGATATACAACAACCTTAGGGGGACACCCATAAGCAAGTCAACATTTTAACAACTTGACAAAATAAATGGCTTATACAGTGCCTGGACATACGAAGGTTGACAAAAGAAAGCGGGGGTCTTGGCTAGGACTGACCACCTGATTGGTGACCTACAGAAACAGACATAATAGAGAGTGAGCCAGGCTCAATGAATAGTAATACATAAATAAAATGATGCTTAACTTGAAACATAATACATGTCAATGTAATAGTCTGATTCTGTGCTAAGTACATAACGGCCTTAGGCCCAATCTTGCAACATAAACTTGATGGCTATAAGCCCTTGAAATGTGGTGGCACGAGGCCCTTGAAACATTGGCATAAAGCCCTTGAAACTTGTTTGACCTTGTAGTATATTCAAACTTGTAACATATACTTGAAACATACCTGAGCATACTTGAACATCATTCATTAATTCAAACGGAACATATTATAACTAGAGTGTTTCTTGTTGTATTATGTCATTTTCGTACGCTTTACAATAAGAGACTAATTCACATTCTCATAAGAGTCACATAATAATGCTAAACTTTGCACTTATATCGTAGATTCTGAAGAACTTCCAATTTATAAGCAACATAGCAACACATCTTCAAATTCATATGAATACACATAGCTACTCTTATATTTACTCAGAATCTATTCTTCAAGAATGAACATAAATTCTTTTGGGTAAATGACTTAATTCACGTGCTCCTTGGTCACATAACTTCATATTTCACAAATGGCCCTTGGCCACATAGATTCATAATTCACAAATGGCCCTTGGTCACATAACTTCATATTTCACAAATGGCCCTTGGCCACATAGATTCATAATTCACAAATGGCCCTTGGTCACATAACTTCATATTTCACAAATGGCCCTTGGTCACATAACTTCATATTTCACAAATGGCCCTTGGTCACATAACTTCATATTTCACAAATGGCCCTTGGTCACATAACTTCATATTTCACAAATGGCCCTTGGTCACATAACTTCATATTTCACAAATGGCCCTTGGTCACATAACTTCATATTTCACAAATGGCCCTTGGTCACATAACTTCATATTTCACAAATGGCCCTTGGCCACATAGATTCATATTTCACAAATGGCCCTTGGCCACATAGGTTCATAGTTCACAAATGGCCCCTGGCCACATAAATTCACAAGTCGGCCCTTGGCCTCATAGGTTCATAGTTCACAAATGGCCCCTGGCCACATAAATTCACAAGTCGGCCCTTGGCCTCATAAATTCACAAGTCGGCCCCCGGCCTCATAAATTCACATATGCATAAATTAGCTTTTGGGTTTCATAGGTTCACAATTCGGCTCTTGGCTTCATAGTTTCACAATTCACAATTCGGAAATTCATACTTCACGAATGGGCCTCAGCCACATCGTTTCATATTTCACAAGTTGGTGATCCATACTTCACAAATTCGAGATGCACATTTCACAAATCCTTTTTGATGTTTCCATAATTTCACAATATTTACGTAGCATACATAACATACCTGTCAACATAATTCTTATGACAAAGATCATAACGTCGATAACAATAATTATTAATAATTAAAGATACATCGAAGTACTACTACTCACAGTGCTACAACGGAGTGCTTGACCCTCCTGAAGTATGCCCTGTACACATATATAACTTAGTCATTAGTTCTTTTTCCTTCCTTCATTATTCTTCAGAAGCCTACCATTATCCATTCATTATATCACAATTTCCTCCATCTCAATATATCTATATATAGAAATAGAAGATTACCATTCTTGCAAACACAATATGGAATTTTTAATCAATCACTTCGATTTCAAGATAGGAAGGAATTGTATGGACATCTTCCACATTTTTCCAAAAATAAATCATTCTCTTGATTTTAATAACTAAGCAAGCCCACAAGTATTTAGCAAAATAATTTGGGATTAACCCATTTTGGGAAACTCTACATTTTAAGTCACAAAAATCAAAGTCAACATAGTTAATACCATCTCACATAATCACTACAATTCAACATAAGCAACATGATTCAACTCAACATCATTAAATATAATTCAACATAATTCAAGAGAAATTCTTAAATTCCATTTCAACATTCCATAACCGAGTTTATGTCATCTATATGATTTATAAATCATTTCCTCCAATTTCCTTCTCATTATAACATGATTTACATTGCTCATAACAAAATTCATTCGCAAATTTTAAACATAATTTTCAAACATAACCAAATTCCAATTAAACTTGTACATAGATAATTCAACCTACCAATTTCATGATTCAACTTTCAATTTGGGCCAAATAATTGATTATCATCAAAAATCAACCTAGGGTTTCTAGAAAAACCTAGAAATTTCAAGAAAAATTCAAACTTCTTAACCCATTATTTTTTTCTTCCAATTTCCCCTTGATTATATATCCTAGGTTCATAATCCATAATCTAAACCCAACAATAAAACCCCAAATTCCTCAAATCCGAAATCCCCAAATTTCCATAATATAACCCTATATGCTCAACATGTAGATTTTGCATTTATATACTCCAAAATACCAAAAATCTATCTATTTATGTAAGCATTGAGGGGGAACTAGGACCCCTACCTCAAGATTGAAAGCAAGGAAGCTAGGTCAAGAGCATAACTTCGAAATTTCACAATCCAATCGGTTGAAAATGTTGATCTTCACTTGTTCTTCATTGTTGATGCAAAATCCATGGTTGATTTGTTGATAAAAGTGGAGGAAATCAAGGTTTTTAGGGCTAAGTTTTCGGACATGGAAGAGGGGAGAAGAAGAGAGGAAAAGAAAATGTAAGAAATGGTCCCAAAATCACGTTTTTTTAGCTGCTGTCCCGCACAGCCCGCACGTGCGGCGCTATTCCCCGCACGTGCGGCTCTGCTTCCAGCACAGATGTGGAAACTTCAAACGGGTATAACTCTCTCATCGGGACTCCTTTCTAGGCCGTTCTTGTGTTCAAATTGAAGCCCCGGAAACAAGCTTTCCAATGGTTCCAACCTCACATTCAAATTCTAAGTATGGAAGGAGAAAAGGGCAAAAGAGTGACGGCTGGTCAAAAATTCAAACTCAAATTTGGGACTTTTTATCTAATCTTATCTATATATCTTGTTAATGCTTCGATCAAGGTTCCAAACATCATCCAAAGGTCCTCAATTATAATATTTATAGTTCACTTGCCAACCCATCAATATCAAGAGTCCGACAACCATACAAATTTTAAGGTGACAGGCACCACTATATATCAATCCAATGTGAATTTAAAATCCGAGTCGTTACAGTTTAGGTGGAAGAATGCCTTCACTATACAAGTTAACTTTTACAAGTATAGTCGTGTACAAAGCTTACAAGGCTCTCACACTCACACTCACAAGTGCTTCAGTCTTAGAGCTCTCTTGGATGTCCAGGTCTCTAGGTGCCTAGCAAATGAGATCCCTCACCCTTATATAGCCATCCCCCTCCTCAATGGACGGCTAGGATCATTTTGATCCAAGGGCTACAAACTCTCATCTAGAACATTCCATTGAACTATCTAGGACAACTACCCTATCTACTAAAATCTAGAACTCTCCAAACTAGTGTAGTACATGGTAGGCTTCTCCAGGAGAAACTAGGATGTTCCAGACCCATCTAGACTCCTCTGGACACTCCAAGGTTCTTCCACATTCCGGAATCTTCCAGGCCACTCCGGACCTTCTACCACGTTCTAGAGTCTTCCAGCATACTCTAGGTTGGTCATCCACATTCTGGAACCTTCCAGGGCCTTCAGCATACCGCCCACGCTGCTCCTTGTGTCACATAAATTGTCGGGGCGTGACACTCTCCCCCACCCAATCCTGTGACGCCCTCGTCATGCAGAAGCATACCGAGCCACCACGTCTCGATATGATCTGTGTCCGCTGCTGCTGGAGCTTGCCTCTTCGCCCTTGCCATGCAGCCCACTCTGTTGCATCCCTGGAAGTGCTTTCTCTTTGCCCTTGCCAAGCAACCTACTCTGCTGCATTCTTGCAAGTGCCTTCCTCTCCGAGCAGTCGCTCACCATGTGCAGTCCGTTGCATAGGAAACACTCGAGCCACCCTTTCCTCTTCAAGCCCAGCCTCTTAGCCTCATCAGTGCACTCAAACCTTACAGTGGCACCTCTCTTCTACTGCTCTTGTGAAGTTTCGCCCTTGGCCTTCACCTCCGCGCTCCGCCCATCCTTCTTTTGGATGTGCCTCTCCCCACTCTTCTAGGATATCGACCCAAGAAGTTGGATGCTCTCCAGCTGGGCCACCTTCTCTGAAGGGTCTTCACTCTCAGAGTCCCTCGCCTCCTTCTTTCCCTTCCTTTCCATGGCACTCAGCTGTTTCTTCTTCTTCGGGCAGTTTCTCACTATGTGCGGTCCGTTGCATAGGTAACACTCAAGCTGCCCCCCCTTCCTCGGAGATCCGGTGCGTTGCCCCTTCCTTCGGCGTTCCCGTCTCTTCTGGGCCTCGCCCTCACTGTGCTCTGTGCTCACCCTCGGTGGTCTGAGGAGACTACCTCCCACCTTTGGCACGCCTCTCTCGGGCACCCCTCGCACCCTCATAGCTCTTAGGTTCCGGCTCACGAATCCTCCTCTTCGGTGAAGCCAAACCTCCATTGCCAGCGATGATGGCCTTCTTGCACAACTCCAACCCTAACTCCAAGCCAGCTACTCTTGCTTCCAGGGCCTTTTGCTGGGTTACCTTCTCCTCCAGCTCCTCCATCCTAGCAACCAAACTAGCAAAATAGGAGAAAAAGTCACCGATATGAGATGTGGGCTTACCAGGGCCAACTAGCGCATCCTCAAGCCTAGCTCTTCCACACTCTCCATCATCCCCTCGAGTCGTGCCTCCAATGTCGCCATCGACTCCTTCGTTGAGAGCTTCCTCACCCTGGGGATGTTCCCTTCGTCGCCAGACGTAGCCATGTACACCTTTGCTCTGATACCAACTGTCACGGACCCTTCTACCACGTTCTAGAGTCTTCCAGCATACTCTAGGTTGGTCTCCCACATTCTGGAACCTTCCAGCGCCTTCAGCATATCGCCCACGCTGCTCCTTGTGTCACATAAATTGTCGGGGCGTGACACTCTCCCCCACCCAATCCCGTGACGCCCTCGTCACGCAGAAGCATACCGAGTCACCACGTCTCGATATGATCTATGTCCGCTGCTGCTGGAGCTTGCCTCTTCGCCCTTGCCATGCAGCCTACTTTGTTGCATCCCAGCAAGTGCTTTCTTTTTGCCCTTGCCAAGCAACCTGCCCACTCTGCTGCATCTCTACAAGTGCCTTCCTCTTCGGGCAGTCCTCACCATGTGCGGTCCGTTGCACAGGAAACACTCGAGCCGCCCTTTCCTCTTCAAGCCCAGCCTCTTAGCCTCGTCGGTGCACTCAAACCTTAGAGTGGCACCTCTCTTCTCCTGCGCTTGTGAAGTTTCCCCCTTAGCCTTCACCTCCGCGCGCCGCTCATCCTTCTTTTGGATGTGCATCTCCCTACTCTTCTGGGATATTGTCCCAAGAAGTTGGATGCTCTCCAGCTGGGCCACCTTCTCTGAAGGGTCTTCACTCTCGGAGTTCGTCGCCTCCTTCTTTCCCATCCTTTCTATGGCACTCAGCTGTTTCTTCTTCTTCGGGCAGTTTCTCACCATGTGCGGTCTGTTGCACAGGAAACACTCTGGCTGCCCCCCCTTCCTCGGAGATCCGGTGCGTTGCCCCTTCCCTCGGCGTTCCCGTCTCTTCTGGGCCTCGCCCTCGCTGTGGTCATCCTTGGTGGTCTGAGGCGACTGCCTCCCACCTTTGGCACGGCTTTCTCGGGCACCCCTCACACCCTCATAGCTCTTAGGCGCACGAACCTTCCCCCTGGCTGGAGCCAAATTCCCTCCATTGCCAACTATGATGGCCTTCTTGCACAACTCCAACTCTAACTCCAAGCTAGCTACTCTTGCTTCCAGGGCCTTCTGTTGGGTTACCTTCTCCTCCAGCTCCTCCACCCTAGCAACCATACTAGCAAAATAGGAGAAAAAGTCACTGATATGAGATGTGGGCTTACCAGGGCCAACTAGCGCATCCTCAAGCCTAGTGAACCGTTCTTCCACACTACACTCTCCATCATCTCCTCGAGTCGTGCCTCCAATGTCGCCATCGACTCCTTCGTTGAGAGCTTCCTCACCCTGGGGACGTTCCCTTCGTCGCCAGACGTTGCCATGTACACCTTTGCTCTGATACCAACTGTCATGGACCTAGACTTCGCAAGCCTACCGTGCGGCCTTAGGTGCCTTCCAACCCTCTTGGTTGCACCTAAGTCGGCCTTACCCACTCAACCACACTAACACACACAGTTTAGGTGGAAGAACGCCACTCAACCACACTAACACACACAGTTTAGGTGGAAGAATGCCTTCACTATACAAGTTAACTTTTACAAGTATAGTCGTGTACAAAGCTTACAAGGCTCTCACACTCACACTCACAAGTGTTTCACTCTTAGAGCTCTCTTGGATCTCCAGGTCTCTAGGTGCCTAGCAAATGAGACACCTCACCGTTATATAGCCATCATTTTGATCCAAGGGCTACAAACTCTCATCTAGAACATTCCACACAACTATCTAGGACAACTACCCCATCAACTACGATCTAGAACTCTCCACACTAGTGTAGTACATGGTAGGCTTCTCCAAGACAATCTAGGATGCTCCAGACCCATCCAGGCTCTGCTGGACACTCCAAGGCTCTTCACATTCCGGAATCTTCCAGGCCACTCCGGACCCTTCTACCATGTTCTAGAGTCGTCCAACATACTCTAGGTTGGTTTCCCTCATTTCGGAACCTTCCTGCGCCTTCAGCATATCGCCCACGCTACACCTTGTGTCGAATAAATTGTCGGGGCGTGACACAAGGCCAAGGCCAGCAGCATGGCATGCCATAGCCAAGGCAGCCCAGCCAAACCGGCAGAATGGCATGCCACGGCTAAGGCAGCCCAGCCAAAGCCAGCAGCATGCCATGCCAAGGCCAAGGCTAGCAGCATGCCAAGCAACGACCAAGGCAGTGCAGCCCAAGCCAGCAGCATGTCATGCCAAGACCAAGGCCAGCAGCATGCCATGCCACGGCCAAGGCAGCCCAGCCAAGCTAGCAGCATGCCATGCCAAGGCCAAGGCCGGCATGCCACGGCCAAGGCAGCCCAGCCAAAGCTATCAGCATGCCATGCGAAGGCCAAGGCCAGCAACATGCCATACCACGGCCAAGGCAGCCCAGCCCATGCCAGCAGCATGCCATGCTAAGGCCAAGGCCAGCAACATGCCATGCCACGGCAAAGGCAGCCCAGCCAAAGCCAGCAGCATGGCATGCCAAGGCCAAGGCCAAGGCCAAGGCCAGCAGCATGGCATGCCACGGCCAAGGCAGCCCAGCCAAAGCCAGCAGCATGCCACGCCAAGGCCAAGACCAGCAACATGCCATGCCAGGGCCAAGGCAGCACAGCGAAAGCCCATGCTATGCCAAGGACAAGGCCAGCAGCATGCCATGCCACGGCCATGGCAGCCCAGGCGAAGCCACCAGCATGCCATGGCCAAGGCCAGCAGCATGGCACGACACGGCAAAGGCATCCAAGCCAAAGCCAGCAGCATGCCATGCCAAGGCCAAGGCCAGCAGCATGGCATGCCAGGGCCAAGGCCGCCCAACCAAAGCCAGCAGCATGCCATGCCAAGGCCAAGGCCAGCAGCATGCCATGCCACGGCCAAGGTAGCCCAGCCAAAGGCTGCAGCATGCCATGCAAAGGCCAAGGCCAGCAG